ATGCCCCTTAAAAGATCCCTTTCTGTTTTTGGGTGACCCATTTTAGAACCCAGGGCCTTTTTGCTCCCCCTTCTGGAAGAATTCTTGAAAGAAAACCTTCTTAAACAGATTAGGGTTTAAGATAAGGACTGGCTTTTCGGGTTTTTGGTGGGGGGGGGGGGGGGGGTGGATGATGACGAGATACAGACTACTGTCTAAGAATTGTAAATTCTAAGTTCCTGGACCTGGAATATTTTATCTACGTCTTTTATCATGTTAATATCCACAATTCTAAATCTGCAAGTACTCACTTTTTCGATATCTGTCTTTCTGTCATAATGAATTATCTTTAATGCCTTCTATTTCTGTATACAAAGTGCTGCTATATTGATTCTCAATTCCTTTTGTATGTGTTACCTTACTTCATTTTCTATATTAAATTAGACTAGTAAGTTGTAAGATGTAAGATATTGCTATTGCACATACCAGTTTACGGAAGTTAGTTTCAATTTCCGCATTTTGTGTTTTGGTTACTTTATTTTCTATAAGAACTTGAATATGTTTTAGTTAGAAAATGTTTTTCTTTTAGTAAATGGTAAGTGAATGTGCGGTTCATTGTGGTTTGAGTGGTGAAGTTATTTAGGCGAATGTATTAAGAATGCTTTATTAGACAATGCTATGTATTGGTAGGAAAATGCATTGTAGAACGTTATATGTATTTGGATGTGTTTGCGGAGAATGAGTTTAGAGTCAAATTGAACTTCAAACTATAATCGAACATAGTCTAAGAATTCATTCAGATGTACTGACCGAGGTATACTTAGTTTGTCGGTTACTTTCGACTCCCACCAGATAATTAATAGTTGGAAGATGTTAAGACCGCGTGCAGCCATAATACCAAATATCACCAAAATACACAATGTTCTGGCGTAATTTTGCTAAAATCATCTCAACCTTCTCCACCATATTTTAAACCAAATGCATATTTTGCTCTCACTTTATCTTTTGGAGCTAACAGCATTTCCAAGATAAGTCCCGGCTCACACATGTAAAATGAATTTTTAGTTTATCGAGGAAAATTGCTGATACTGGAGGTGTTTGTGATTCTTGCTGATATTGAAACGACCCAATAACACATGCTTACTTCCAACATTTAACTATCTAGCTGTGAACAGTTTTTCTTATACACCATACCAGTCCAATTATGAACCTTCTTTTTGTTGAGATTGCAGATAAAGATTTGGGAAGATCGGAAGTCACAGCCTATTGCAGTTCTCCGGCCACATGATGGCCATCCTGTTAATTCTGCCGCTTTTCTGGCTGCTCCTCATCGCCCGGATCACATTATACTTATCACTGGGGTACATACATTATGAGTTTTTTTAATGTTAATACCTTTTAAAGAATTGTCCTTGAGTTTAAACTATAAATTTGTCTTGCCCACAGGGGCTGTTTGACGCTACTTCTGTTTAAGAAAGTTTTCTTGTTGATGGCTTTGGTTTCAATTACTGTACTCAATTCTTAAAGGATATTTTCAGGGGCCACTGAATCGGGAAGTGAAAATCTGGGTATCGACAAGTGAAGAAGGCTGGTTGCTTCCTAGTGATGCTGAATCATGGCATTGTACTCAAACATTGGAATTAAGGAGTTCAGAGGTTCGGGCTGAAGATGCTTTCTTCAATCAAGTAATAGCATTGTCACAAGCTGGTCTTCTTTTATTGGCAAATGCCAAAAGGAATGCTATTTATGCTGTGCACTTGGAATATGGTCCTAACCCTGCAGCTACCCGCATGGATTACATAGCTGAATTTACTGTCACTATGCCAATACTAAGTTTTACAGGGACAAGTGAGTTACTACCTCATGGCGAACAAGTTGTTCAGGTATATTGCGTCCAGACGCAGGCTATTCAGCAGTATGCTTTGGACTTGTCACAGTGTCTGCCACCCCCAATGGAAAATACCGTACATGAGAAATTGGACTCTGTTGCGTCACTGGATGTTGCTAGTGCTGAAAGACTCTCTGATGTGGAGCCTTCTAGTGGTAAACAAGTTGATGTATCTATATCTAGTTCAGCTTCAGCACCCAAAGTATCAATCAACGAAAGTGGCTTTGAGAGTGCTTCTACTGTGAGATACCCAATTAACCCTGCTTCTCAGTCACCCTTGCCGCAGGAGTCTGCTTCCTCAAGTACAGACGCCAAACTAGTTCCTTTGTCTGAGGTTGCTATTAGTAGGGATATTTCTTCTGCTACTTCTCCTCGACTTCCTTTGAGCCCTAGGTTGTCAAAAACACTTTCTGGCTTTAGGAGTCTTTCAATTAATGACCGTGGTTCAGAGCAAAAAAATGTTGAGTATTCAGTTGACAGACAAATGGATGCTGTTCATTCAAACGTATCTGATGTTGCTTCATTGGAGGATGATTCAAGGAATGGTGACAATAAACTTTCTCAAGATGATTCCATAGCAGTCAATCAACCAATTAAGTTCAAACACCCCACCCATTTGGTAACTCCTTCTGAAATACTGATGGCCAATTCAACCTCTGAAGTTAGCCATGGTAATGAGGCCAAAAGTGATGTTGAACTAAATATTCAAGATGTGGTAATTAACAATGATACAAGGAATGTTGAGGTTGAGGTACAGGTTGTGGGTGAAACACGATTTAGTCAAAATAACGACGTTGGTCCTCGAGAAGACCTTGAGACTTACGTCTCAGAAAACAAGGAGAAAATATTTTTCTCTCAAGCATCCGATCTCGGAATTGAGATGGCTCGAGAAAGTCGCGCCTTATTGCCTGAAACTTATACCATTGAGGAAGTTATGGAGTTTAATGGGACTGGTGAAACAGAAACAATTGCTCAATCGTCATCTGTAGAAGAAATCAACGATTCTTCAAAGGATGTTTCTGGAAAGGTTATTGATTCACCAACTCCTATGCCAGCTCAACAACAGCCTGCACCAAATGCAAAAGGGAAAAAACAGAAGGGAAAGAATCCTCAAGCACCAGACTCATCTTCACCATCACGCAGTGCTTTCAATTCAACAGATTCTTCTAACGAACCAGCTGTCAGCTCTAGTAATCCTGTAGAAAGTGTGTCCCCACAACTAGTTTCCATGCAACAGATGCTGAATCAGGTGATTTTTATCCTTTTGGCTGAGATAATTACATGCTTAGGGAATATATAGATCATTTCGCCATTCTTCATTCCCGGTCTTTCAGATCTGTTATATGCTTTCTGTTCAAAGAAAAGTTCCTTAGTCTTGCAAACTGTGATATTTTCTCCAATTTTGTTTTATCAGAAAATGTTGGCTTACATGATCTATAGAAACCTCTAGCTTGTGTAAATATATTAACTTTTTGTTTTTGAAGTCAACTGATTCTCTATCTCTATCTTAAATTTCTGTATAGTTCCTTGAGTAGTTGTAGACTTGTACTTTTGTCTACTATCTCCTTGAACAGAACTGTCAATATTTGGTTTAGGAGCCAAAGCTCAGCACTTGTAGAATCTTGTTGACATTTATAGAGAATTCTTCGTTGGATTTTTTCTATATTTCATCTCACCTAATCTGTGTCATTTGTTCTTTTGCAGATTGTATCTGCGCAAAAAGAAATGCAGAAGCAGATGGCAACAACAATTGCTGACCCAGTTACCAAAGAAAGCAAAAGGCTCGAGGCAGCTTTGGGAAAGAGTATGGAGAAAGCTGTCAAAGCCAATGCTGATGCTTTGTGGGCTAGAATTCAAGAAGAAAATGCAAAACAGGACAAGGCAGTACGTGAACGTATGCAACAATTAACAAATACGATTACCAATTGCTTAAACAAAGATTTACCGGTAATCATAGAGAAAACTGTCAAAAGAGAACTTGCCACTGTGGTGCAATCTGTGGCACGGGCTATTATTCCCAACATTGAGAAAACAATATCCACTTCCATTACAGAGAGCTTCCAGGTTAACATATTCAACTGTCTTTGTTTGCACGCCACATATTAATCTAAGCTGTGCCTGATCTTACCTGATTTATATGAACAGAAAGGGGTAGGTGATAAAGCTGTAAATCAACTGGAGAAGTCTGTCAACTCTAAACTTGAAGCCACTGTTGCTAGGCAGATCCAAGCTCAATTTCAAACTTCTGGCAAGCAAGCTCTTCAGGTACAATTCGAGATTTTTTTTTTTGGGGTGGTGTGGGTGTGGGTTAGTAGAACTTGATTGTTTTTTTAAAACTAATATGAAGAGATTATGTTCGATCCATTATTACCAAACGGTTCCGGTAAACTAATTTTATGGCAGCGAAATGTATGCTAGTACAAGCTATGCTCTAAAAGTCTTACGGTTCCTCCTTGAAATACGCGAGCACATAGAATAATAATTGCTGGCTTCAGTTTATTTTTCTGCATGATGTGTAATGATGTTGATATCACCCTTTTTTCTGAAAAGAGTTGTGTTTTTTTGGGCTTCCCAATACGGATTCTAGCCTAGGGGAGAAAAGTAATCAGTGGATTGTTGAAATTTGATATTTACTGCGAGTAGATTATTGAACGATATTTCTAATGGTACTTTTGGGCACTTACCACGATCTTGGTTATTGAACTTGTATGTTTGGAGGCCTTTTTTTCAACTTGTTAGTGTCTAACCTCGTTCCTTCCCTCGTTTTATATCTTGTCGGCTTAACCTGCGTATTTATTATACTATTGAATATAAAATTTAATTTGTTATGCAGGAAACATTGAAATCTAGTTTGGAAGCTTCCGTCGTTCCAGCATTTGAGATGTCATGCAGGGCTATGTTTGAGCAAGTTGATGCCACATTTCAGAAAGGGATGGTTGAACATACAACGGCATCTCAGCAACAATTCGAGGCCTCACATTCTCCTTTGGCAATTGCTTTAAGGGTATTAATAATCAGTACAAAATTATGCTAATGTTTCTTTTAATTGCTACTTCAAGGACAAACTTAAACTAATTGAAGCTTAATTATCTTAGGATGCTGTAAATTCGGCTTCATCAATGACTCAAACTTTAAACAGTGAGATACTCGATGGTCAAAGAAAATTGGTAGCTCTTGCTGTTGCAGGAGCAAATTCTAAAGCAACAAACCCGTTGGTTAGTCAACTGACTAACGGTCCTTTGGGTTCTCTCCACGAAAAGGTTTGCTGTTTGGTCTTTGCACTTAATTTAAACCGACGTACCAATCTTCAAAAGTAGACACTTATCACTGCTATCATAATTCATAGCTGTTAATTCTGATGAATATTCTTATTTTTTAAGGTCGAGGTACCACTTGATCCAACAAAAGAGCTATCTAGACTGATAGCTGAACGAAAATACGAGGAGGCTTTCACAACTGCCCTGCAAAGGAGCGATGTTAATATAGTATCCTGGTTATGCACTCAGGTATAATGTTAATATACACATCTATGGATTTTGTGTTCTTTTTATAACCCCCAAACTAATGTTTCTTTAAAAAAAATCTTAAACCAGGTTGATTTACCGGGAATTCTGTCGATGAATCCACTACCTGTGAGCCAAGGTGTGCTACTATCTCTTCTACAACAGTTGGCATGTGACATCATCAAAGAAACACCTCGGAAGCTGACGTGGATGAGAGAGGTTCTTTCTGCTATAAATCCGACGGACCCACTTATTGTTGTGCACGTACGTCCAATCTTCGAGCAAGTCTATCAAATACTGCACAACCACAGAACACTTCCGACAGTCAGCGGTGCAGAAATTTCCAATATTCGGTTGATAATGCATGTCATCAATTCCATGCTAATGACCTCTAAGTGATTTTATCCAATCCTGTTTGATTTGATGAAGGTCTTCAATGTTGACTTTGTAAGGTTTTGTACATAATTCTATGGATGCTTAGAACAAAACATTGTGTAGAGTTTGCGTTGGTTTTCGCTTTCGGTTTTTTTTTTTTTTTTTAATTGGTTTTCGTTATTTCGTTTATCGATGCTACTAGTGTTTTGATGGAGATTAAGGACTTCAGGAATTTATTTTCTAATTTTTGTAGTTGAAAAAGTTTTGAAAATGTACATACTTGTCTTTTCATTAAAAAATATAATATCATAAATTAGTGTATCTTTATTTATTTATTTATTTAATTTATTTATTTAAGTGGCAATGGTAAGTTTAGTTTATTTTATTTATATATTTGTATGAACATTAATGAAATATAAAAATAAACTTCTCTTCATTGAAGTTTTCCGACTAATGGAAAACATTAAATTCTGTACACTAATTTTCCCTCAATTAAAAAAATCAAAAGGAAAAAAGAAAAAGAGAGAAAGGAGACGGAAGAACTATCCTATACAATTGACGTAGAAATGACGTCACCAGCACTGATCCGTTTCCCACCGCCGGGTCGGGTAGGACCTCCCTCTACCCGGACTCTGAAACCCGGACAAACCGGCGGCAACATTCCACCGCCGTTTCGAGTTCAAGTTCAAGTTACAGTCGTACACAGCTCTCGCATCCGGATCCGACAGCGTGGCGTAGGCGTCGCGGATCTCGATGAAATCTCGTCCGTCCGCCGCCGTAGCAATCGAAGATTCAATAAACCGCGATTTCGCGTCGGGGTGGTGCACCTTGGCGAGCGTGCGGTACGCCGCCTTGATCTCCACCTGCGACGCGCCGCGCTCTACTCGGAGGACCTCGTACAGGCACCTGTTGTCGACGCCGGCGGCGTGCGGCGCCACCTCGGCTACGACGGAACTTCCACGGCGGCGGTGGCGGGGCCGTGGCCGGAAGGCCAAACATGGCTGAGAAGGGAGGGTTAGGGTTCCCAGCATTGAATTGTGTACTGCGCAGATATTTTTTGGACGATGGAATTTTTGCAGAGAGAAAATGAAGAAATTTTGGGGGTTTATATGAAAGTCAGCAAAACCGGAGGGAATGAAAGTGGTGGGCCCCACTGGGAGGGTGGGAGTGGGGACAACTTACTTTATGCGGCAAAGGTGTGTGTGTGTGTGTGTTTTAAGAGTGAATTACTATGTGCTGACATGGCACATTGGATCGCTTTAATTCGCTGGAAACCCCTCTGCTTCTAGAAGGTAATCTAAATTAAAATTTTATTATTTTTATATTATTGAAAAAAATAAGGCTGCGGCTATATGCAATACTCATTCCACTTGTGCAAGACCAAATTAAAGAAAGATTCCAAAAGATTCTATTTTATTAAGATGGAATGACAAGTATGCCCATAAATTAAATTGGTTTTTTTTTTCTCATGTAAGACCAAATACAAATAATGAGAAAAAAATAAAAATCGACACCAAGGTGTCGAAAAACTATGCTACAAATCGACACTTTAGCGTCGAATTTCATAGGTAAAAATCGACATTGACATGTCGAATTTATAGCACAAATTCAAGTGTCGAATTTTAGACCTCAAAATCGACATCTAAATGTCGAATTTTATACCTCAAAATCGACATCTAAATGTCGATTTTTACCTGTAAAATTCGACCTGTACATGTCGAATTCGTTTGCGCGGGATTTTTTTTGGAAAATCGATATTCTAGCTAAAAAATCCATAAATGCATACATTATTGGGTTCTTCCATCGTAGAATCTTCTATTTTGATGTCTTCTAACTCCATACTTGCCATCTTTGTAAGATTTGTTGAGTTTTGATGATTTTGAATTTCTAGGTTTTGTGGGTTAATGGAGGAGGAAGGAGAAAGGTCTTGTGGATTTTGGAAGATGGAGAAGATGAGAGTTGGTCTTGTGGTTTTGTGGTCTTGTGATGGGGTTTTTTGTGTTTTTGAATTTTTGGTCTTGCATATTTGGAATTTTTTATTTTTTTAATAAATAAGAGTATTATAGTATTTATACATTGAAAATTTTAATTTGGTCTTGCACAAGTGGAATCAGTCTTGCATATAGCCGCAGCCAAAAAATAAACAGATTGATTGAGTTTAACATTATTACGTAAAAATATATTTAAACCTCTATAAATTGATACAGTCATATTCGGACAATGAAAATTTCTATTAATTTAGTGATGTTAAATTATCGAGTTAATATTTTAACACGTTCTCATCGAGGGTGAGATTCAGATAATTTATTATTTCAATATCTAATTAAGAACCTTTTGGATAATGAGATTTATTAGTATTATATATGAGATATTATTTGTCGCCAACTTGTTAGTATTTATAATCATGAACTGCTTCCAACTTTTTTTACTTTATAGGTTGGGTGCTACATATAATACAAAAGACATAAACTTTTTTACATGTATTGTCAATTTTTTATTATAAAATATTGATAATATGTAGTACTAATATATATATATATATATATATATCCGGTTAAAAATAAGTTGTCCATAAATTATTTTCAACGAATAGATTATTTAACATGATTGATAAGTAGTTACAAGTTATGGCAATATCCAATTGAACATTGTTAGAAATTCTTCAATCCTACTCCTCAAATATATTTATTATATATCCTAAAATTAATAAAACTAACCTACAAAAATACCAATCATGACATGAATGAAAAGGAGAGATCTCCTATATTTATGATAAGAGTAAAAAGCAGTTTACCCCCTAAATTAAGACCGGTTTTGCGCTTTGCCCCCCAAACAATTTTTTTTTGCAAAATTTTACCCGAACTCGATATTTTGTTGCACGGTGGCTATTTTCAGGCAAGATCCACCGAAATCTGAAACATGTGCAGATCACGTGATTTTGAAAGGGGCAAAGTAGTCTCTTCACTTATTTTTTCCTCTCAACCATAACCCTTCGTGCTTTCCCCCAATTCTTTCTTAAATTCTTTCACATTTCCAGTCTCACTCAATGGATTGAAATTCAGATTTTTGTTGTCTTCCTAAAATCTCGATGTGCAGATTTCGTTTCTCTTATTCTTTATCATTCAAATTGAAACCTAAATAATTTTATAAAACCTAAATAATTTTATAAAACCTAAACATAAAAAAAAAAAAAAAAAAAAAAAATTCTCTGAAACAGCCGCATCAATTTGTTTGGTGGGCAAAATTACAAATTCTAAAGAATGGGTCAGAGTTGAAAGAAGAAGAAGACGAAGGAGCGGGGAAGAGGGAGGACGCTGAGATCGAATCAGTGGATTTTTCGGCTAGAATTTCAGAATTATTAGCGGCAATTGAGTTATGAGCGTGCCGCATTTTCTTATTTTTCTTGGAAACCACACTGCCTCGACCACTCTGTTTCCACCACCACCACCACCATTTATGACCTCTTTAACCTCTTCCTTTGTGGAGAGATAAAGCTTCAAGTTCAATTTTCCTGCCTCGTCCTCAAGCCCACGGACACACACAAAAGGTTGAGAAGAAGAAGAAAAATGGTGGTAAAAATTTAAGAAATCCGCTTGAATTTTGAAGGGCAATAACTAAACTAAGAAAAAATGGTGGAAAGAACAAAGTTTGGCATTTTTTGTGGCCGACGGGATGGTGGCAGGCTGGCAGCTGTCGTTTCTTTTGTTTTTTTTCTTTTTTTCTTTTTTTTTTTAAATTTTATCTTTTAATGATTAGTTTATATTAATATATATATGATATAAAATAATGGACAAATTTATCCCTACAAGTTTCACGTGCAATGCACATGATTTCCCATTCCGGTCAAAATTGCCGGAATATTCCTTTTAGGAGGCACCGTGCAATGAATTAATGAGTTTAGGTAAAAACGTGCAAATTTTTTTTGTTTGGGGGGCAAAGTGCAAAACAGCCTTTAGTTTAGGGGGCAAACTGCTTTTTACTCTTATGATAATTTATGGACTGTATGATCGAGACAAAGACTAAGAGATGTGATAAATGTCGTTTCAGTGTTAATAATATTATTTCAACTTCAAACGTGTTTTTAATCATTTTTAATGCTTAATTCAGCAAAACTCAAAACGCGAATTTTATAATTCTTTGAGTTAGCTTTCTAGTCCAGCTTGAATCGCCAAAATCGAACGTTGGTTGAGAAAGATATGCATGAATCAATGAACACTGCCCATAAATTCGTTGTTTTGAGTTATCGTTGCATAACTTTGTTAACCAACATCCGATTTAGCTGATTCAAGATGGATTAAAAACTCATTTAAAGACCTAGAATTTCCGTATTATAAATATTGCCAAAATCAGATTACAAAAAAGTCAAAACGACATCTAACATTTCAGCAAGATTTTCATTTATTTATGGCGATTGTAAATTTCACCATGTATGTGTGATGTGATATCTCAATAGACATAATAATATTGTGGGCCTTATCTAAAAAAAGAAAAAGAAATTTGATTAGGAGTATTTATTGGGCCAATTCGGAGTACCACCTAAGCCCATTTAATGAAGCCATAATAATTTATTTCTCATGTGTGAAGAGTTTCTAGAAGGAAGAGAGTGATTACGTCACATGCCAATTGCCACGTGCCAACCACTATCCCCAATCCCCATCGGATGCTAGTTAATGATAAGGTCTGACGATTGGCACGTGCCAAGGATTCTAGAAGACCAATTATTATTATTATTATTATTATTATTATTAAAAAAATAAAAAATTATCAATATTTAAAAATTAAAATAAACAATATAAGTTCATTATACTGCCAGTATGTTAAAACTACACGTGATAAAATTGAACTTATATAAATTGTAATAAAACAATATTTATTATTGCATTATAGAGTACAAATGTCAAAATTATCAAACTTGTATTGTAGCACGCTTTCAAGGTGTGGGCAAGAGACAAAGATACACACAAACAAAGCTCGAAAACTTCTATTGTCGACTCATATTTGAGTAAAATTTGATTTGTGTGCGTAAAAAAAATAATTGACATTAATTTTTTTTAATAAGAACAATAATAAGTTGGAGAAGGTAGATGAAAACTATTATATCATGTTCAAAGTTAGGGAAAAAAATGTATTTTCCACCAATAACTAACGAACTGCTAACCAAAAAATGGATAAGAGGGTGTTATATGCAAAAAAGTTAAAACGTTTGAGGTGTGCTTGTCAAAAGACTAAAATTCAGGGGCTGTGAATGCAAATTACCCTTTTTGTATTTGATAGGAGAGTTCAATGTAACAACCTAACTCTTTTTGTTTTGGGTAAGTTATTGAATGAAGCCATTCAATTTGACCTAATTTTAACCGAGGGACAAATTTGTAATTCTCATAAAAGAAGTTCAACAAATAGATGTAGGGGTGTAAATGACAAAATATCAAATATTTGGGGTATGATTTCTAAATAACTAAAACCCAGAGGAGATGAATACAAATTACTCACTGAATACAACTATTGGCCATGATCTCATTGGGACTAGCACAAGCTCTCTCTCTCTCTCTCTCTCTCTCTCTCTCTCTCTCTCTCTCTCTCTCTCTATATATATATATATATATATTATATACATACACAACTTATGTATGTATTTTCTTGATCACTATATAGTTAGATATTGGGCACAATAATATATATTTAAATTAAATTAAATTAAAAAAAATAGTAAATGGAGAGTAACAACAACAATAGTATTTGCTCTGTGGAGGAAGTGAACAAGGCTGCCACTCTTGAGATATCCACTCATTCTCACCACCTTCTTAAAAGATCAGGTAATATTATTATATATATATTTAATTCCTCTCAAATTAATTAATTAATTTTCCATTTTCATTAACCCTATTTAGTAAATATTTAAAGGAAAATTTTGCACGGTTATTATATTTATCTTATTGTGTAGTTCTTTTAGATAAGGGTTTCGTGCAAAACAATAATAATAGTGAAAAGGGTGGGTTTTTATGAAAGTTTTTATTTTTTAATAAATTGAAAATTTTAAATAAGAATTAGTAATTTATAAATCTAAAACTCGAATTTCTTTGAAAACCAAGCACAGTCACTAAGGTGGTGTTTGCAAATGATTATTTAAAAGCAGAAGTTATTGATTGTGAGTTAAATCAGTTTTAAGTACTTATTTTTAAAAGTTGGGAGTGTTTGCAAATATTTCGGAAAATGAACTTAAATAGAAAAAACAGGGTTAGTGGTGCTTTTAAAAAAATAGTTTAAAGAAGATTATTTTAAGACAAGCAAAAGCAAAAGTTGATTTTGCAAACACATGAAAACAGATTATGAGAAAAAAAAGCTTATAATCACTTTCAAAAAGCATTTATAAACACCACCTAAATAAATTATAATTTATTGTGTGGATTTTTCTGAAGATTGGTTGGTGACTTGGTTCGGTGAAATGGATAGGGAAAATTATAATTTTAGTCCTTTAAGTTGTCCTATTTTGTGATTTCATCCTCTAAATTATTCTACTTCAAATTAGCACAATAACTTTGCAAATTCAGCATTATTGGTCCTATTTCACTCAAAAATTATAAATGGTGTTTATTACATGATTTAAATGGGCGCTTAAAAATTATAAATAGAACGAAAAGTGTTAAAATTGCAAAATAAAGGACTCAAATGACAATATTCCCAAAATTGGGGGGTTATTATGACAGGGACAATATGGACAGGGATAGCGCATATAATAACAGGAGTTATAGGGGCGGGTGTATTATCTCTTGCATGGAGCACGGCCCAATTAGGATGGATTGCGGGCCCGTTAGCTATACTTGTATTTGCCGCCATTACTCAACTTTCCATTCTTCTTCTTTGTGACTGCTATCGCTCTCCGGATCCTGCACGTGGCCCGACCCGGAATCCATCCTTGATTCAGGCTGTCAACTTTTACTTGGGTCTCTCTCTCTCTCTCTCTCTCTCTCTCTCTCTCTCTCTCTCTCTCTCTCTCTCTCTCTCTCTCTCTCTCTCTCTCTCTCTCTCTCTCTCTCTCTCTCATTAAGTGATTACACATTACCTAACATGAATAATGGATTTAATGCAAATTTTTCTTGACACGTGCATGTGGATTTTAAATTTTTAATTACATTGTTTACGGGGAGAACTTACGAAGTATCCAGGGGTGGGAATTGGAACAAAATTTTTCGATTTTGTAACATAATTCTTCATCCAAATTTTAAAATTGACGTTTCGGTTTGTTTTTTTTTAGTTTGTAATTGGAGTATGAGATTCCGATTTCTGATCTGATTTTAATTTCCAAAAATTCCATTTTTTTCATATCACAACTATTACGTATTTTACATTTTAGGTTGTCAAAATTGGAATTTTCCGAACTCCGTCGATCCCGATTCGATAATTTCTGATTTCGGAACAATTTTTTTCATTTTAATTTTCAAACTTGATTCCCGCCCTTTTTTAATAGAATTGGAATTTTTTCGAAAATGCTAATACTGATTCGATACGTTCGATTTGTACTCCTAAAAGTACGACATGGTTGATTCTATATAATTTCAGGGAAGACGAAACAGAGAATATGCGCAATATTCGTGCTGGAGAGCTTCTACGGAGGTGGAATTGCATACACTATCGTGACATCCTCCTCCGTCAAGTAAGCTTCCAAAAAAATAATATTGTAATTCGGTTCAATTTGGACTAGAAAATCTAATAGTAAGAAAAGATAAATTAAATTACGCAGAGCAATCCTACGGTCAAATTGTTACCACGAAGAAGGGCACGATGGTAATTGCAAATACGGAGACAACGTATTTATGGTGATATTTGGGTTAGTTCAAATTATAGTGTCACAAATACCAGATTTTCACAACATGGCTTGGCTCTCTATTATTGCTGCAATTATGTCATTCTCCTATGCTTTCATCGGGTTCGGGCTGGGCTTTGCTACTGTAATTGGTAAGCCCGAATCTATCTCTATCATATATTTCTTAATATATAATACATGTTTATTAGTGCTTTAATTACACTCTTTGCTAATTTTTTTGACATACTAAAATTAGTGTCCCGCTTTACGTATTTCGGTCTCGTTTGATATGTTTAACTACGATTATAGTAGAAGCCGGTCAACTTTGATACGTTCACTAGCGGAGCCAGAAATTTAAGTTTAGGGGCCCGGCCCGTTAATGCTATTGTACACATTTTTTTTTACATTTATATACATAAATTGAAAGAGATTTGAGAAAATGTAGTGGGCCGGGAGGTTGTAAGGCGATCCGGGTCAAAAGGG